GAAAGTCCATATATAATTTCCTATGTGGGATACCAATATTTCGAGCTGTTACATAATTTTTGGCTCAGTCAAACTTATAATACACCCAATACATAGTGTTGTAGGGTATAAAAATCGCATGCGATAAAATTTTTGACAAAAAAATATTTACTTTTTTATTGGTATATTTTTGCGCGATTTTCTTATATTTTATTCTTTTCTGGCAAGAGGCCATTCCAGATTGGTGGGAATTGTCAAAATCAGTCCAGCGGTTTGTGACTTATAAGCGAAATTTCTACCATCAATTTCTTGTACATACAGATTCTACTTAATTTGCGATGTTCCCGTAGCACTGTAACGGTCAGAAATAACATTTTAGTATATTTGTGATTTCACTGGTATTAAAAAATTCTCGGTTTAGTGGAAATTTTCGTATTTTTTTACATAAAAGTTATGGTCTATTTTACCCGCTAAATATTGTCCAATGACCAAACAAAATATTAGGCTTCTGACCAGCCCTACACTCTAGCACCATGCTAAATTTCGCGTCTTGGTCTATAACTGCAACCTATAGAGCAGCTGCAAAATCAGGAACATATTCTGTTTTTGGTCCATTTCAACCTAACTAAAACTAAATATTTCTAAAACAAAGACATAGGTCTTTATCTCCAAAAACAATAGGGTTTTACTCTGATCTTAACTCCACCTCCATTCTTCTCCAAAATTGTGAGGATCGATCCATAATTGCGACCTGTAGAGTGATTACAATTCAACATGGACAGACGGAAGGACGAACATACAAAGCTAGATCGACTCAGCTCGGCGAGAAAGGAAGATCCATATGCTTTCCAATATTTCGAGGTGTTACATAATTGTTGGCCAATCAAACTTATAATACCCCTAACACATAGTGTTGTATTTGTTTTGTGTTGTATTTTTAGGCGTTCCCCTATCGACTTACTATCTTCATACACTACAGAGAGTAGTGTTTTTCAATAAGAAACTGACAGATCGCTACAAATACAATGGATTAAGCACGACGAATAGAATTGGCTTTTTTGATTGGACGATTTTGGTGAAAAGCAAGCATTTTAAGTGTCGAACATTCTCCAGTAAATGAAAATCATGCTCATTTCCTGCCTTTCCCGAAAATCATCAGCTAATTATTCTTTCTCAAGTAGCATTTGAGAAGGGAAGTATTACAAAAAGTGTTAAAAATAGTAAAACTTTTTTTAAAAACAGGCCACACATGCAACAAAAAATTACACACAATATGTGTTCTTACAGATACGGTGGCAACACTGATCAGAAGAAATTAATCGTTGAGACGAAATTCGACTTACTTATCCCTTATACAATACAACCAAGGCTCTAACAAATTGAACAAATTGAATTGAGTTTTCACAGTTAGTTTCTTTGAAAAAATCACCTTAACTTCCAAGAGAGAAGTTACTGAAGAGAGAAAAATAAAAAAACATTGCCAAGTTACAACCCAAAAAGTATCAATTTTTTTTAAATCGTCGACGCAACCAACGCTCTTGTATATTAATAATAAAACTAAGTCTCAAAATGGTTACCATTGGGGAGCTCGGTAAAGATGATTTACACGGATTTTCAACGACAGAAAGTACTAAAAATAGCATTGTGCGAATTCTGGAACAGATACGGCGGTTTCAAAACCGCATAAGAAAACACATTGAGGACAACTACGTTAACTTTGTACCAAATTACACCGCTTCTGACGTGTACATAGACGAAGGCGAATCCTTGCTGCGGGAAACAGAGCATTTACTAAAAAATGTGGGAAGTGACGCCCGTATGGCACTAAATAGTGCCAATATAGAACTGACCCAATGCTTAGAAGAATTACGAGAAGTTGCAATGGGACTTAAATTATCACAACGTATTCTAAAAATAGACGACCTTTTCCAATGCTTGGAAGAGTCAAACGCTACGAAGGATTATTTAACGGCTTTGGATTTATTGGGAAAACTTAAGAGCTTAGTTTGCAGCGAAAACTCATCAGATGTAGATTTATTGTTCCAGAAATGTGAATGTTATGACACGATTAAAGTGCGGTATCATATCCAGGCAAACATACTACAGCAGAACCTACAGCAACGATTTGAAAGTTTGGTGCAATTTTCAGAAAAAGTATTTCCTTCTGCAAAAAGTGTAAATCTGCAAGTTTCCAAAGATGTAACGCAGTTGCAAGACACTGTTTTAGCTCTGTTCGAGGTGCGATTTTATAATTTATTCCGATGTACCCTATTAACATTTTCTTTTTATTGTAGGCGCGTTACAATCCCATGAAATTGTGTGACTTTCTTTTAGAAAACTGTTTAGAACCAATAATAACGAAGCCAGTTTCCGTCGAATATTGCACCGAAAAGGATGATTACTTTCAAATAAATATATCGTACTCAGTTAAGGCAGGCAATAAGAGCCCTGCGACCATCATATAAGCAAGTATTTATGTATGTCAAAATACTTTTTGAATGTTTGGCCAATATAAATATCGAGATTTCGACGAATAAATATGTGTTTGGAGTTATTGGAAATCATATTAAGGAGAAATTCATAAAACTGTTGGTCGAAGAGTGTTTGCTGTATTCTATTCCTGACACGATGGATGAATATCAAGAGTCCACACTTCTCGATGATCTTCAAAAGTTTGAACAAATGTTAACTGACATATGTTTTTTGGATGCTGACAAAGATAGAGAACTAAAAGATTTTGGTGAAAAATTCAACTATCTATTTGAAGAGAGGTTCTCTGTAAAAATTTTAGAAAGTGCCCGAACCATTATGCAAAAAGATTTGCAGGATATGGTAATCGTTTGTGAAGGAATTAACGCGAAAGAAGTTGAAGATAATAAGTTTTTATTTCCCCAATGCATGATATCTAAAAGTACTTTGGTAAGTTATTACGAACAGGGTACAGAGTAAAATAATTTGTTTACTTATTTTTTTATATCAATGAAGGAATTGACAAAGTTAATGGAGCGAATATTACGCCAGCCTCCTAATTCCCATCATGAAACTGATGTAAATGACATTAATGCATCGAACATATTTCTGCCCATAATATCGACCATTGTTACTACCTACTGTTCTGATGTGCCTAAAATTCACGATAAGTTATTAGAAAGTATACCGCAACAATCAGTTCTATTCTACAATAACTGTATGTACCTAGCAAACTGGGTTGCGAAATACTCGGACGTGGGTATTCCAACGCATCCTGCATTGGTGAAAACGCTACAGTCAACCGGCCTGCGTTTATTTAAAGTTCAGGAGGCAAAACAGCAGAAAATCATTCAGGAAATTATGAAAAATCTAGGTAACTAGAGTTAGAAATTGGGATTCGTTTTTTACATCAACTTTTAATTTCAGACATCTCCGACACGCACTCGATTGGATCAGCGCCTTTAAAATTGGTCCGGCAATGCTTGCGACAAATGGAACTATTGAAAAATGTTTGGTTGTATGTTCTACCTGAAACAATATACAATAAAACATTTTCGTTTATTCTCAACGATTTCTTTCAAGATATAATTCGCAGAATTATATCCCTCGAAGACATATCTGCTGCAGTGGCGAGTGAACTGAGTGAACTCATCAGTGTAATTTTGGAAAGAGTGCCGGACTTATTCAAGGTATTTTATATGATTATGTCACTTACCAATGCCCGAAATATGTGTTCTATTTAAAGCACTTTGAAGCATTTCAAAAATCAATTTTTGGATGAAAAATTGCGCCATGCAAGCATTTTCAAGAAATGACCGGTGTGTTTTATTGTAAATTGAGGTATTTCGAAAAAGGTTCAAATCAAACTTGTTTTCGGAATTCAAATATTTCAATTCTAAAAATAGCGAAAAAGCTATATTTTCCATTTTTTCATGTTCTTAATCCTTACTTTCACATCTCTGACGACCATCATCATTATGAATTAATTATTAGCAGTTATTACTTGTATGTGTAACACGCAACTCTTTTTTTATTTTCAGGAAAAACACGAAGCTTTTCAAGTTTCATCTTGGATGAAATTACAGCAATTGCAAATGATTCTCAATGCATCTTTACAAGAAATTGTGGACCAGTGGTGTGATGGCGCCGGAATTTTAACAGCAAATTATAAAGCTGAAGAATTGCGACATCTAATTCGCGCCCTTTTTCAAAACACAGATCGACGGGCCAAAGCACTGTCAAGGATTGTTTAAAGTATAACAAAATGTTTTCCATTTTTAAGTAAACCAATTTTAATACAGTACACTTATACAACAGGCATATTAAAAAAAAATCACTACATGTTATTTTCAAAAACGTTTTCTTTGAAACCTTAATTGTTTAGCAATTCCTATGGTATATGACGTTTTGTTGGAAATAATAGAATCTTCCAACCTCAATTGATTATCCATTAAATCAGGATAGTGAAAATACCATAGGTTCACATTTTTGAAAGCACCCCCATCGAGGAAAGTTGCAATTGTAAATTTGGAGTTTTCCATATTTTTCTCAATGTATCGAAAACTTTATGCAAGGCGGTCTGTACTGATTGACCTTGTAATAAGCGTGCTACGACATACTTGTTGAATGTGTTTTTAAAGTTAAGAGAAATGCTAGGCCCAGTAGTGATTCTAAAGTCTTTAATCGATCTGTAGTCTTTAGGCAATGTGTTTAAGACAAGCATCGGAAATATCCTAAAAGATGTCCCATACCGACTCAGATGAATTTGGCGACATTGCCGTGGGCATATAGTGGGCGATACGGTTAAATGGGAGCTATACCAAAACGTGAGCCTACACAGACCATCTGCTATAGTGGTGGTTATATATTGCGAGTTTTAAATTCCAAATTTGAAACCATTCTGTGGAAAAATGTGGCTTTAATAATGAAAATACCGTATAACTTGACCTTCATACCGAGAATTTACACATATGTGCAAAATTTTAGTCTTCTATTTCAATTTGTTCGAAAGATCTCATGATTGAAGTAGACAGCCAAATCAATTTAGAATATTATGTTAGCAAGCTTTTACATATATTTTGTAGGGTCTGAGGTTAGTATTTCGAGGATATTCTGCGTAGTATGATGCAGGGTACAAAAACTCTAGTTCGCACTATCGGTGATAGACATGCCTCAAAAGAGAGAATCTTTAGGTAAGGCTGAAGGTAGGTTAGTGAAGTTTCAAGTTTTTATTACAAAGTGACTTTATTTTATCTTTTGGTAGGTTATGTAGCTTAAGAGTCATTGGTAATGTTTTCGTCTGGTGGCAAGTTTGTTAATATCCATTTATGTAGCTGAAGTAATTCGCTTCGTTTCAATTCGTGATATGTGTTGGCCAAGGTAGTAAATGTTCCCTTCACTCCTAATTTAGTCAATTTATTGAAACTTGCCTGACCCCATTCTATCGGAACTAAAGGATCTCGATCACCATGAAACATTAGTAAATGTGGCAAATCAGTTGTTTTTGTTGCATGTTTCAAAAGAGAATCGTATACAACAGAGTCGTGGTTCAAAAACGACGAACAGGCAAATATTCCAGCTAGACCTGTGTTTAAATGAAAACCCGTATGTAAGGCTAACGCTCCACCCATGGAAAATCCACCAACAATGATGCGTTTCAAAGGAATCCCACTTGCAACTTCATTTTGTATTATCTGATGAATAGCACCGTAAATTCCTTCCATACTACTTCGGTTTTCTGGTGCACTTATTGATATAGAGTCACGATCGAACCACACATTTGATAGCTGACGTCCATTCGGAGTATACGGCTGTAGAGGTGCTGTTGGATATATAATTTTTATGTGATCAAACTCTAGATTACGTCCTAGTAGTAGACGGATCCACTCAATAAGGTTTGCTCCATTGTCACCTACAATGAAATTGTCGCTTTGATAAAATGAATGGCATATTCTAAATCAATGTTACCAGAACCGTGCAAGAATATCACAGATGCACTATGGGTGCGACCAGCTTGCTGAATTTGATTACGAATTAAATTCATAATAGCCTAATCCTCTATTAAAAATGTAAATAATAAAATTTAAAGCAAGGCAGATTTGTTAGGTACTCGCGTAAGCAAGATGATACAACAAAAAACAAATTGTATTGGTTCTAAGAACGTCAAAATTACTCATCCTATCTTGCAGGTATAAATAAACAAATTATAAAAATTTACATAAATAAATATGTATATAAACAATATAAATATATTTTTTACAAAATTAAATAAAGACATAATTTGACATTCATAATTTAATTTTTTTTTGATATATCATGGTACGGTCAGCTGCGATGATGCGGCTACCTAATACATTTGACTTGACTTAGTGTTGGACAACAATCGATGGGACTATCTTTTCTGAGCAAGTATCGATAAATAGATAAATACAGTCGAACAAATATTACGCAATGTTCTCATCATGGCAGAACTAATCATATGTTTACAACATTGTAGAACTAAGAAGGTAAAGTCATACATATGATTGTAAGTTTACATTTGACAACATCTCATTGTCAAAATCTGAATTCATAAATCCCATGGTAGAAGAATATAGGTAGACGCACCGACACAGCTGCTGGGACAATGAACTGTCAAACCAATTTTGGAATTGAAAATGTTGAATGAAAAATTATTTCAATTTTTGTAAAAATTGTTGAAAATCGCGAATTATAAGAGCCTCCGAATGACGTCGTATGAGAAAGCATATAAAATCTACTTATATTTGAAAAGACATTTAAAATATTTTGACATATCAATGTTCCCAAGCGTTGATGTATCTACCTGTATTTTTCTACCATGATAAATCCATTGTATACACACAAACTCAGAGATGGGAGCTGTCTTTTATGCATTGAAATTTGACATGGTAAATTACAGAAAATGCAGAGCTGCGAGTTTTAATTTGAAATGAGGTTACCTTAATTTCATTGTACCATGTGTTCTCATGTGTATTTGATCATCGTTGTTCGCTTTCAGAATAGCATTAATGATGTAATGTACTGAATTAAAGAAGTAGGAAAATTGTCCGGTCTGTCCAGAACCAGCAACTTATTACTATGTCTCAATTTAATTTAAAAATTTAGATTTCTTTTCGACCAAATATTTTATAATTCTTACGCATTTTAGAGGGTATAAAAGTCAAGGAAGAATATATTCTAAAACAGAGACTAAAGGTGTGGGTATATAAGGAGCTTGAAGTCTTCGCATGATATATTTTGTGACATATCATAACACGATGCCAGAGCCGTGTTTGAATATGACTAGTGTTTATAAATATAAATAAAAGAAGATATACAGAAAACTTGAATTGGGCAACCTTGGTATGGTTACAATTTCATGTAATCTTCCAAGAATATTTATTTGTTATTATAAAATAATAACAAAAGTAAATATGTATATGTAAAATATGTTCTTTTGAACACCTAGCTATGAGCCAAGCCTCATAAGCCAAGACTGATAAGTTTATGAATGGTTTAATTTTATTTTAAACAAGTATGCTATAACACTGGTAGAAGACTGCCCGAATTTGGCTTCAGTTTCAGTACAGAAAATTGTCAGCGAAAGATGTCGCTTTTATCCAGAATCCATGGTAAAATTAAGAAGGTAACGTCATGCAGTCATATGTTTGCAATTTTTTCAAAATTATACATTTGACAACAGCTCATTGTCAAAATTTATATTTACAACTCCATTGCATGCATGGTACAATGATATCAAGGTAGGGCTATGATACCATATGATTTTAATTTTTTTATTTTCTTGGCCTAATATGTCATCTTTATTTGTTTATGTATGTGTTTCAATAACAAAAAATTGTTCAGAAAAAATGCAATTTCGGGTGTTTTCAAAATGTTCATTTCAACGCATGCATCGACAAAATCTAGAGTTTTTGTAGCGAAATAATCCTTTAGAGATATATAGTACATGATTTTGAAAAGAAGTGTTGACCTTTCATTCAGTTATCGCGGTTTTCAATTATTTATTCAAAATAAATGCAACAAGTTGTTTGAATTTTTATTGTTTTGATACTAATTCTGACATTACAAGCCAAACAGGTAGACTTCTATACTTGCAATTTTTTCAAAGTTGACCTACCTTCTCTTCATTGTACCATGATTGCATGCACACAAATCAGATATGGGAACCTGTTTTTATGCAGTGAAATTTGACAAAGTAAGTTACAGAAAACGCAGAGATGGGAATGCTTATTTGAAACGAATTTACCTTCTAAATTTTACCATGCATACAACGGACTCACCCACTTTATGGTTTTTTTAAAGTTTAACAGCTAAGGGTGAAGGACGTGTGAATTCAGATACTTTTGTAAAAAATTGTTGGAGGGTTTTAAAAGTTCGCCGGCTTGTTTTATTTGTACACATTCCTATATTTCTATATGTTTCTAGGTCACAATAGACCAGCTGCTCTCTCCTTTTGCTGTCAAAACACATTATTGTTTTGTCCGTGTTTTTTTCTTTTTGGTGGATTTCTCGCGATATAGCTATTGACAGCCTGAACTCGCCCCCTGGCACAATAACAAAGTCTTCCTGGAAATTTTAATAATCAAATGTAATGCTTATTTTTTGTTCTGTGATTTAAATAATGCATTTTGACTTTACATTTTGTAGTAAGGGATCTTAACATTTATTTCTGAACGTTTTCTTAAACTACATCATTCAGAGGTATATAACAATCTTTTTAACAGTATCATCTTATTTGAGTATATTCATTCTTAATTTTGAATTTCAAAAATGTTTTGACCAGCCATGTTGCTGCAACCTCAATAATTGTATAATAATAATACGCGTGCCTTGAAACGGACCAACCTCATGTATAAGTAGTGTTATTACTTTATATTGCATGCCATATAAGAAGAGGAAGGAACGCATCGCGATTACATTTCGGGCCTATACCTATAAAGAACATATTGTTTAATTTATCCTTGTTTTGATTGATTCCTCCAAGCAGTTTAGTAGAAAAAAAGTACAATGGGAGATAAAAACTCTGATCAGAGTATTATGGATAAATCCATGCGTTCAGTTTTTGGTTCGTAGACTTATTTTAAGCGAAATGACAAGTTTTATTTTGATCTTTTGTTTTTAGTTGGGAACATTCCTTACGAAGCGACTGAAGAAAAGTTGAAAGAGATCTTTAGCGAGGTTGGACCGGTTGTCTCTTTGAAGTAGGTGAAGCTTGTGCAAATAGTATAACGGTACACTTTTAAAATATTTTTTTTATATTTCAGGCTTGTTTTTGATCGGGAAAGTGGTAAACCCAAGGGCTTTGGTTTTTGTGAATACAAAGACCAGGAAACCGCATTGAGTGCCATGCGAAATCTAAACGGGTATGAAATTGGAGGAAGGACTCTGCGAGTTGATAATGCTTGTACAGAAAAGTCAAGAATGGAAATGCAACAATTGTTGCAAGGACCTCAAGTGGAAAATCCATATGGAGAGCACTGCGACCCCGACCAAGCGCCGGAAATTATAACGAAAACAGTAGCGTCGCTTCCACCAGAACAAATGTTTGAGTTAATGAAACAAATGAAATTGTGTATACAGAATAATCCATCAGAGGCTCGGCAGATGCTTATGTTAAATCCCCAACTGGCATATGCTTTACTGCAGGCCATGGTTGTAATGCGTATTGTCGATCCGCCCACAGCGTTGGTATGCAAACAAGAGCGTTATCATTATTCTTTACATACATATAATGAGTAAACTTTTTCTTTACAGGGTATGCTATTCAAAGCAAATCAAATGCCTCCCGTTTTAGGTGCTAAATCATCGGCTGGAGGTGCACCACCTGTAAATGCGATGCAACCGTCGTCAATAGTTCCTCCAACGCAAGTTAGTGCTACATCCCTGCCAGTACCAGGACCTAATTTTAACTCCATGCAGGGAAACGACATAGATCTAAGGGCTATGGCTAGCGTAAATTTGGGATCCCAACCGCAAATTGATCCTCGCATGGTTCGAACTATTGACCAAGATTTACGAAACATGCCAAATCCGGTTCCCCCTCCTCAAATGGACCATAGAAGCCAAAGACAAATGCAGCAACAACCAATTAGTACTCCACAAGTCCCATTCCCATCCGATCCCCGGCAGAGGCCTATGGATCCACGATTGAGGTCTGCTGGAACCTCTGGACTTTCACAGAGTGCTCAGCAAACTGCTCAGCAGCAATTACAAAATCGATTGGCCACAAATTGTGGCCTGCCGAATGACGCATCAGACCAAGAAAAAGCCGCTCTAATAATGCAAGTTTTACAGTTAACAGATGAACAAATTTCCCAACTACCTCCCGAACAGAGGGCAAGCATTCTTGTATTGAAAGAGCAGATCGCTAAAAGTACTCAGCGTTAACCGATCGCTGTCTTTTTTATACTATTAGAGAATTGTATTGGAATCATTTGGTACATAGAATCAAGGACTACAGATTAAGTATTTCAAATGAAATTTTCCGTATTGAAAATAATAAACAATTCCCAAAAAAATTTTGCTATAATCATGGTCAAGGATTTCTATTACAGGCGTAAGTTTTCGTTTTACTGCAGAACCCATATAGAAGATACTGTGAAGATGTTGACAAAAATTTCGATGTCTATTTTGGGGTTTTAGTCTTTATATTTTTTTCGTGTTTATGTGTTAACATTAATAAAAGTTTAAAAAATCTTTTTGAGATATGGAATAAACATATATTTTACGTGCCGAGGAAGCCGAAAAAGATAAATTTTTGTTTGGTGCGAAATATAGTTTGTTGAGTATTTAGCAATCATATTCGATTTTGTAAAGGAGCATACCTCTATTGTTTTGCCATGGATATACCCGTGGCAATATAATAGGATAACAGCAAGTACTGTTGCACAACAAAAGTAACTGTAACCATGGCTCAATCAGAAAGGTTGATCAGCTTCAATAAACTATGAAAAATGTTACCCTGTACCGGAGTTTAAGTGTCAAATTAGATTGGATTATTTTACATTGGAAAAAGAGTTGGGACTATTTCACAGAATTGAATCTAAGATAGTAAGATAATGCAGTTTTGCCCAAAATTATACAATTTGTTGCCTATTGACACCGAAAACATGCATTTCTCATTTCTCCCATGGTACAATAAAAAGGTAAGGTAGAGCTACCAGCTGATTAAAATTCTTTTTATGTGTGCCCGACTTCTGCCAATTTTGTGTATGTATTTGTTGTTTTGAAAAATAAAAACAAAAACAATGATTGGAAGAAATTTATATTGCTAGGCGCGCATTAATAATATTAACGAGATTTGCCATGGAATTGAAAGATTGAACACTTAGGATCATATTTTTGAGAGAACATCCAGGCATTTCATTCATTTTTCGCACTATTTGACTCATTTTAGAAATGGACAAAAAGTATCAAGTAAATGAAAACAACCTGTTGCCTATAACTTTGAATAATTCTGACAGGAAGCGGGCATAGCCTCAGGGCATGGTATAATTATTACAGGTAACAGCAAGTCCCCGCTGATTTGACTCTATAGTAATACTAGTGTCAAACTCGATATGACGTTTTGTGATTTAATTCCATTTCTTGATATACAATAGGTATACCTTTTTTGATATAAAATTTCACTGCAGGGCAATGCGAACATACTTTTTCCTAACAATACAAAAAATTGCCGTTTTACTTAACAAAACGTCAAAGTCGATGGTTTGGAAACCTTTTTTGCGGTTAAGGAACAGCGCCACTATGTTAGATAATATATTCGTATATTTCATGTTTCTTAAAATTGCAAAATGTAGAATACTTTATGTATGTATGTTGTTTGGTTGATGGGTTCAACTTCAAAGGGATGTTGCCTTTTCCACGATTTTCTAGCGATTGCTTGAATTGTTGAGAGATTAAAGCATTAAAATAAAATATTTTAAGAGCTATTCTTCTGCATTTTCAATTTAATAATCCAAATTCCAACAACGTATATTTTTTATTGAAAATTAATTATTTTGTTTACATTTTTGGCACATAACTCTGACACTTGTATTACGTACAAAAACTAATTTGTATGTGGTTGTTGTACAACAACACTTGCTGTTACCTGTATTATTCTACCATAATTTTGTGCATGTATTTATTGTTTTGAAAAATAAAACAAAAGATTTTCAAAACCAGTTATTGGAAGACACGTAGATTGCGGCTCACACATTAAAGCCATTAACCAGTTTGGCCATGAAATTGAAAGATTAAACAGTTTGGATCATATTTTTGAGGAAAAAGTCAGATATTTCATCCATTTTTCGCGCTATTTAACTCATTTTAAAAATGAGGAAAAATATGAAAAAAAAAAAAATGAAAACAACGGGTCTAGCCTCAGGGCTGTATTTCTGTAGATTTACGAAGCTGTTCTACCTCCTCCTACCTCCTAAAACTGAGTTCGAAATAATTTCAAATTATTTTATTTTTTATTCAAAACAATACCACACATATGCAAACTGTGTATATGTTTTGATAGAATAGGGGCGCCAAAAAGAAAAAATTGTATTTAGGAGCTTTGTTGTACCTTCTGTAATTGTGTCATGACTACAACCATGGTACAAAGAAATCAAGATAGGGCACAGCTACCAATCAACTTTTGTTTTTTATACCCACCACCGTAGTATGGAGGGCATATTAAGTTTGTCATTTCGTTTGTAATATCTCGAAATATACATTGTAGACTCCACAAAGCATACATATTATTGATCAGCATACAATTCTATGTTGATTTAGCTGTGCCAGTCCGTCTGTTGAAATCTGATTTATTAAAATTTTACTCAGATATGTTTTAAGTCTGCAGGACTTGTGGTATTGCAAATGGGCTATAAAGCCTCCACATATCTAGTATAGCCTCCACATAATTGTGCCGACAGATCGAATGTTAATTTCGCGTTTTATGAGCTTCATGGGTATTCAAAAATTTGACCCTTTGTGGGAGAGGTACCAGGAGTGGACCGATATATTCCATCTTCACACCAGACAATCGGATTCTTACATCACATTTTATGAGAATTATGTTTATTCAAAATGTTCGCACCTGACATAGCATTGATACGAATACTAGGATTTGCAAAGTTACAGCAAAATTGGATTATCCTTTCTCTGTCTGTGAAAGCAGGTAGGTTAGGTTAGGTTAAGGGACGCGCGATTGCCATATGGCAACCGCTCCACTCGGAGACCTATAGGTCCATTGTGTTCATCCTAGAAAAGAGTTTTGAGAGATAGAGGAAAAAAGTGATTGATAGAGAAAATGAAGATAAGGGATAGTGTAGTAGAGTGAGAATCTACGGCTGAGGAGTTTGCCGTGTCGTCTTTAGCCACTTGAGTCTTCTGGCTAGTTGAAGTATTACTACTGGGTCAGTGTTAGAAAAAGATGACAAGTCATGTGACACTAGTTCTCCCACTAGCCTATGCCTCACATTAATGAGTGCTGGGCAGTGACAGAGTAAGTGTTCGATTGTCTCGATTTCTTCTTCATCTTGACAGATCCTACAGTAGTCAATGCCGTCGCTATCCCATTTCGATGTCATAGCCCTCACCTTACAGTGACCTGTGATGATGCCCACCACGAGTTTTAAATCAGGTTTTGACAATGACATCAGCGACCTTGTTCTCTTCTCCGAGAGCGTGGGCCAGATTCGTTTGGGGATGGTACAACCAATTTCATCCAGCCATTTTTGTTGGTTCTTCTCAGAGTAGTGTTTGTGAATAACCTGCAGGAAATGGCACAGTGGTGGTTTAACCGAGCCTCTCTTAGCTCGTTCCTCGGTGTTCCTCTTCCAACTTAGTCGGTGGTCAAGGATAGTGCCAAGGTATTTGGCTTCTAGCGAAAGGTTTAATCTGACTCCATCTAGTTTCGGTGGTGTAAATGTAGGGTATTTACGTCTCTTAGTGAAAAGGACGAGCTCTGTCTTTGATGGGTTCACGCCTAGTCCATTGCGACGCGCCCACCGTGATAAGGTGACTAGAGCTCCTTGCATTAGATCCGAGATTGTTTGCACGAATTTCCCGGCGATTAACAGGACGACGTCATCAGCGTATGCGACTACTTTCGTTCCTGTTACCTCTAGATCCATAATTATATTATTGATGACCAAAAGCCAGAGTAATGGTGATAGGACACCCCCTTGCGGAGTGCCCCTCATGACCGATTTCCTGATGTATATTTCCCCAATGCTCGAGTTGATAATTCTGCTGCTAAGCATGGTATCAATCCAGCCTATTACAAATTTTGAGATTATATTTTAAGATAAAATCAAAAATCGACTCACCTCTGACGTTGGTATCGTTGCTACCCCATTGGAAGTGGTGTGCGTTGGCATCACAACCTATGATTAGATGCCCTTTGTCAGCCAGATCTTCGAGCAGCTCCTCTACTTCATGTCCAGGTGGGTCAGGTCGCTCGTACGGTAGATATAGAGATATGAAAATGTGAACCCTTCCGGATTTAGACTCCAATCTCGCTACCGTAACGTCTCCTCCACTGTTGTTGCTAAGGAAGATAAGGTTTAAACTCTTTTTGGCAACAATACACGTCCTTACCTTATCACCATTGGAGACCGCATAAGAGACGTACTGTCCACTCCCTAGTCCAGTTACCCTATTATTGTATATATAGGGTTCCTGAACCAGAGCTATGTCTACTTCAGCTTTCGAGAGGGATAGGAGGAGTTCTGCAGGAGCTGCTTTGCAGTGATGCAGATTAATCTGCATGATGCTAAGTAGCTGCTGTTTTCTTCCACCTAATGCAACGGCGTTAGACGGAAACGGATCCATCCAGCGCCGAAATGCAGTTTTCCCCCACGAGCTTGAAGGTATTCCTGGCCATCCGTATCCATAGATACCTTGATGACCAGGCCCCCTCCCTCAGTGTTTGAACTGACAAGACGCCAGTTGTCCGTCTTGAGGTTGGGGTTTTGCTTGCCCAGTATTGTCAGGATGCGTGCCGGATCCACGGATGGTGGTGGCACCCAAGCTGTCAATACCTTACGGCAGGGGATGTCCTTCAAGGATACAGCCGCCAGATCACATCCCTGCCAGAGATCGCGAAAGCCAGATACTGCGGTGACCAGGTAATCCTTAGATTCCTGGTTCTCGCAGAACATTACTTTCACGCCTTTGTAAAGGGTTGCACTGCCGAACTGCATACTTCGTGTGTCACCCTCTCCCGTGAAGACAAGCTCTCTCAGACGATCTTCGAATAGCAACCATCGACTGTCGCTGATTTTACCTTCCGGTTCAGCCTTGTCGATGATTGCTACCCGAAGATTATCCGGGTATATAGTTTGCGAGTATTTCCTCTTCCGTCCTGTTTGGCCTGCCGTTTGTGACTTGACATCTCCTTGTGAACCTTATCAGGCTTAGAGCTTGAAGGGGCTGGTGGGGGAGGTTTAGTCGCGACCGGCTTGCTAGCGGACGGAGTGGGCAAAGGCTGAGAAGCCGGGCCCTTGGATGCCTTCTTGGCCTCAGGATGTGGTGCTTCCGTAGACCGACCCCTTTTCAACGCTGCACGTGAAGAGGTATCGGCCTCCGGTGGAACTACAAGGGCTTCGGCTACAGTGGGCTTCGGCTTCTTGGCCTTATTTTTCCCGCGCTTTTTGGCAGGTGGATTCGACCCAGCAGTGTCAGCATTGGCCGTCGCCTCGTGAACAATGACCGTGGTGGTCTTGTTAGTGGCGATGGAATTGCTGACCTCCGCAGGGCCCTCAGCAGAGGGTTGAACCACAGGTTGGTTTACCCTACTGCTGATAGCAGATTGTAGGAGAGGTAGAAGATTCTGGTTTAGAGAACAGCTCGGTAAGTGCGGGTGGTTCCGTTCGAACTTAGCAATTACCTTGAGGTTCATCTTGATCAGAATCCTCTCTCTCTCCGTTATCTGTGCGGGGTCTTTGCCGATAAATTTTTTGCAGTAATTTACCGACCTTTTATATCCCCGCTTTGCTTTCACCTCTTTTGGGTCGGCGCCATCACGAGAGGTAGGGTTTCTGGCAGGATCCCCGCCAGTGCCTACAATGATGGCGTCTTGCCGATCGAGGCTGGTGGCTGCTGGTGACGTTATTCCCTCCTGGGTTTTGGACTACGCGCAAGTCTCGCTGGGAGTGTTCTTGGTGGCTTGTTGAGATGACTTACCACTTTGAGACGAGGAAATGACCGTGATGTCCAGTTCCTCATCCGAAAGTGGTGAGTCATTTCCAAAGCCAGAAGGAGTACTCTCCTGACTGAGCCTTAGCGTTTTTGTCTTCTCCAGGAGGGCGGACAACTGTTCGCTATGTCGCTGGATGTTGTCATGGATGACGTCACTGTAGCTCAGTATGTCGTCCCCTTCCGAATTTGAAATCATGTCCTGTGGCCGGTCCTTGGTCTTTGGAAACAATGGTGTCGTTGGTGGAAGTTGGGGTTTTGTTTTTGTTGCTATTATTTTTCTCCATATGAAAGGTCGGACTTGGAGGAGACGAGGTCCACCATGGCATAGCCTCCCTACCATGGCAAGGACTTGGCAACTAAGCCTGTTATTCACTGAGGCGCCCAGGTATCAGTGAGGCAACCGTTCGAATACAGTCGGTACCCTGACTGCACACCGAGGAACGCGGTTTACGTAACACCCCAGCGTTAGGGGGTCTTATTCCTCGGTAGACCAACACCGATCACTGGATAATTCGAGGCGCCAGTTGTTCGCCTCGTCGAACCAGGGATCATGGACACTCGGATATTTATTCCGAGACTCTCCCCCCGGAACCGCTGAGTTGTCCGCGACTGCTTATTTAATTCGCAGCTGCCCAATATATCTATTGGGCGTTCCACTATCCGCAACCTGTGGACGCGTCCGGTAGCAACCAGCTATGCTTCCGATGATCGGCCGGAAAAAGCAGGTGAAAGCAGGTACCAGAAGGAGTGGACCGATATTGTCCATCTTCGAACTCGATCTAAGTTTGATAATATTCCGATGTACCAAATCGGGTACTCCCTTCTAGAGTTATCGTGCCCACCAGCCGGACAAACGGACGGACGGACATCGCTAGATCAACTCCAAAGGTCTAAAACTTTATTTCGATGTGGCACGTTTTGGCAGTATTAAATTATGCACACCCTATTTAGCCATATGGCTCTGAGTATAAAAATCACAGTTGTGATTACTCACTTCAATTCACATGCTCGATCAAGTCATGTTGCTGAACACATCAAACGCTTTGGAACACTCATGTTTGATTGTAAGTTATGTAATTCAAAACGAATGTTCGATTCGATCCGATGCAAAACAATATTTTCATTCAAATCAAACCAAACGACTGCATCAACCAAATTTATGTAAGAAGCCGTGTATGACTACATTTTTATACCCTCACCATACATGGTATGGAGGGTATATTAAGTTCGTCTTCCCGTTTGTAACTCATCGAAATAATCATGTTAGACCCAACAAAGTATATATATTCTTGATCAGCGTAAAATTCTAAGACGATTTAGCCCTGTTCGTCCGTCTGTCATACTACAGTCGAAACGAATTGAGATAGGAAGCTAACATTTTGCACAGATCTCTCTTTTGTCTGCAGGTCAAGTTCGAAGATGGGCTATATCGGTCAACGATATCGTATAGCCTCCATATAACGGTAACCTCCGATATTCGGTAATTTGATGATTTTAGCCACATTTTTCTATGGAATTGCCTGAAAACTACTACTATACCCCCTGAAAGAGAGTTGTCTATATAGGTCCACGAATTCGTATATCCCCCATAAAGGGTAGACCCCGATATTCGGTATTTTGATGATTTTAGCCACATTTTTCAATGGAATTGTCTGGAAATCCACACAAGGAGTTCCTTGTGAGTATTTTATCCCCTGGAAGATAATTATCTATATAGGTCCACGATATCGTATAGCCTTCATATAACGGTACCTCCCGAAATTCGGTATTTTGATAATTTTAGCCCCATTTTTCAACGGAATTGTCTGAAAATCCACACAAGGAGTTCCTTGTGAGTATTTTATCCCCTGGAAGATTATTATCTATATAGGCCCACGATATCGTATAGCCTTCATATAACGGTATCTCCCGATATTCGGTATTTTGATAATTTTAGCCCCATTTTTCAACGGAATTGTCTAAAAATCCACAAAAGGAGTTCCTTGTGAGTATTTTATCCCCTGGAAGATTATTATCTATATAGACCCACGATATCGTATAGCCCCCATATAACGGAACTCCCCGATATTCGCTATTTTGATGATTTCAGCCACAATTTTTAACGAAATTCTACACAATGAGTCTTTTGTGAGTAGTTTACCCCCTGACTGCACACCGAGGAACGCGGTTTACGTAACACCCCAGCGTTAGGGGGTCTTATTCCTCGGTAGACCAACACCGATCACTGGATAATTCGAGGCGCCAGTTGTTCGCCTCGTCGAACCAGGGATCATGGGCACTCGGATATTTATTCCGAGACTCTCCCCCCGGAACCGCTGAGTTGTCCGCGACTGCTTATTTAATTCGCAGCTGCCCAATATATCTATTGGGCGTTCCACTATCCGCAACCTGTGGACGCGTCCGGTAGCAACCAGCTATGCTTCCGATGATCGGCCGGAAAAAGCAGGTGAAAGCAGGTACCAGAAGGAGTGGACCGATATTGTCCATCTTCGAACTCGATCTAAGTTTGATAATATTCCGATGTACCAAATCGGGTACTCCCTTCTAGAGTTATCGTGCCCACCAGCCGGACAGACGGACGGACGGACATCGCTAGATCAACTCCAAAGGTCTAAAACTCTTATTTCGATGTGGCACGTTTTGGCAGTATTAAATTATGCACACCCTATTTAGCCATATGGCTCTGGGTATAAAAATCACAGTTGTGATTACTCACTTCAATTCACATGCTCGATCAAGTCATGTTGCTGAACACATCAAACGCTTTGGAACACTCATGTTTGATTGTAAGTTATGTAATTCAAAACGAATGTTCGATTCGATCCGATGCGAAACAATATTTTCATTCAAATCAAACCAAACGACTGCATCAACCAAATTTATGTAAGAAGCCGTGTATGACTACATTTTTATACCCTCACCATACATGGTATGGAGGGTATATTAAGTTCGTCTTCCCGTTTGTAACTCATCGAAATAATCATGTTAGACCCAACAAAGTATATATATTCTTGATCAGCGTAAAATTCTAAGACGATTTAGCCCTGTTCGTCCGTCTGTCATACTACAGTCGAAACGAATTGAGATAGGAAGCTAACATTTTGCACAGATCTCTCTTTTGTCTGCAGGTCAAGTTCGAAGATGGGCTATATCGGTCAACGATATCGTATAGCCTCCATATAACGGTAACCCCCGATATTCGGTACTTTGATGATTTTAGCCACATTTTTCTATGGAATTTCCTGAAAACTACTACTATACCCCCTGAAAGAGAGTTGTCTATATAGGTCCACGAATTCGTATATCCCCCATAAAGGGTAGACCCCGATATTCGGTATTTTGATGATTTTAGCCACATTTTTCAATGGAATTGTCTGGAAATCCACACAAGGAGTTCCTTGTGAGTATTTTATCCCCTGGAAGATAATTATCTATATAGGTCCACGATATCGTATAGCCTTCATATAACGGTACCTCCCGAAATTCGGTATTTTGATAATTTTAGCCCCATTTTTCAACGGAATTGTCTGAAAATCCACACAAGGAGTTCCTTGTGAGTATTTTATCCCCTGGAAGATTATTATCTATATAGGCCCACGATATCGTATAGCCTTCATATAACGGTATCTCCCGATATTCGGTATTTTGATAATTTTAGCCCCATTTTTCAACGGAATTGTCTGAAAATCCACAAAAGGAGTTCCTTGTGAGTATTTTATCCCCTGGAAGATTATTATCTATATAGACCCACGATATCGTATAGCCCCCATATAACGGAACTCCCCGATATTCGCTATTTTGATGATTTCAGCCACAATTTTTAACGAAATTCTACACAATGAGTCTTTTGTGAGTAGTTTACCCCCTGAAAGAGAATTATCTATATAGGTCCACGATATCGTATAGCCCCCATATAACGGTACCTCCCGATATTCGGTATTTTGATAATTTTAGCGAAATTTTTAACGGAATTGTCTGAAACTCTACACAAGAAGTTCTTTTTGAGTAATTTGACATAGATTTGTCTATATAGGTACACAATATCGTATATCCACCCATATATCGGCATCTTCTGATATTTGGTATTTTAAAGCTTTTAACAGAATTTTTAATGGATTTTATTTTTTTTTTTTAAATTTCCTAATTTGTTCCAAATGGTGAAGGGTATTCAAACTTACTGATTTTTTACTTATTTTCATACTCGTTGCAGCCCTCTGATTTGAACCTATGGCTAATCACTGTATATTCAGGGGGATGATACGGTAGGATGGTACAATAATACAGGCAGTCGCATCGACACAGCTGCTGGGACAATTAACTGTCAAACCGATTTTGGAATTGAAAATGTTGAATGAAAAATTATTGAAATTTGTAAAAAATGTTGAAAAAATATATATATATATATATATATATTATATATTATATAAAATATAATATATATTTGCGTCGTATAAGAAAATATTTAAAAATATACTTGTTTTTGATAAAACTTTTTCAAAAATTTAACATATCAATGTTTCCAACCATAAAATTAAATATTTTAAGAAATATTCTTCTGCATTTTAAGTTTAATAAGACAAACTCCAAAAATGAACATATTTGAAATTAAAACAATTTATTGAAAATTTATTGTTTTGTTTATATTTTAAGACATATTACTCTGACACTTGCATTACGTACAAAAACACTTGCTGTTACCTGTGCTATTCTAACATGAACTTACTACAATAAATTACAGAGAAAATCTTATAGTTCGTTTAGATACAAACCTTATCCCGGTTAAACTTGATAATTGATTAATCACAATAAATTTTACTATGGAAAACATTCAGTGGTTGGTCAAATATCACTTTAACCCGGATAAAGATTCGGTACGTAACCGCGCTATTACTGCAAACGAAATCTGACACAGCTATTGTGAGAGTATTCGTCAGAAAAATCGATAGCGACAGTGAAACTCGACTAGTTTACTAAAAGTTGTTGAATCGATAAATCGAAACGGTGGAGCAGGAGACTTGGATTCAGTATTGCAATTGGTTAGCAAGAAAAACATACCCATATTTAAATACAATGTCTCAAAGGAATGATGGACATGTTCCGGCAGAGGAAAGTGATTTGTTGCTAATAAAGCCACTGTAAGTGGGGTATGTTTTTTATTTGCTATTGTCAATAATATTAAATTTGGTTTCTAGTGGTGCTGGACAGGAAGTAGGCCGGTCCTGCATAATGTTGGAATTTAAAGGAAAAAAGATTATGGTAAGAAATTTATTTTAATAGAGACAAGACTGATTGTAATGATAGTGGCTTTAATGATGTGCTTGTGCTAATTACATTTTTCTTCAGTTAGATTGTGGAATTCATCCTGGATTGTCAGGAATGGACGCCCTACCTTATGTGGATTTGATTGAAGCCGATGAAGTAGATTTGTTATTTATATCTCAGTAAGAACATCCTCATGCATATTCAGAAGAAACACTATTTTTAAAATGATTTTCTAGTTTTCATTTAGATCATTGTGGAGCGCTTCCTTGGTTTTTGATGAAAACCAGTTTCCGAGGACGTTGTTTCATGACCCATGCAACAAAGGCGATATATAGATGGATGTTGTCGGATTATATTAAGATTAGTAATATTTCCACCGAACAAATGCTTTATACAGAAGCTGACTTAGAAGCTTCCATGGAAAAGATAGAAACCA